AGATTCCAAAAATAATATTATATACAGAGTGTTCCATTTGAAAAATCAAAGTTGCTACTGCTTTCTAATAGAAGCGGCAACACCGCATTGTCGAAAATATTTTAGTTGGCTAGAGAATGTCGGAATATGCCCTCCATTAAATTTTCAATGTGATCCGTTGTCTGGTTCACCAGAAACGTCTAATGTGCCATCCACCGTGAATCAGCCTGTATATAAAGCTATCAGTCTAGGTATGATACAAAAAGTAACTATTAAGTAACAACCTATAATAATAATAAATGTCTTTATTGTTTACAACTAATAAGGTTCAACAGTTAATGAATAGTATGGGCAAAAATATGAATAAGTTGGAAACAAAAGGTGAAGTTCGAATTTAATAACGATAAGTTTATGCTCAAGTTTAGGTGTAAACACCACACGGCTTATGCCATGGGGAAAGCTGAAGTAAAACCATCGGGCACTTGTGCAACCTCTTCCGTTTGGAAGATTCGTCGTAAGTAACTTCCTATATATGAAAAGCAGAAATTAATTTTATTTGGTCGGGACGACCACCGATAGACCGGTTTTGGAGTACTTGCTCCTCGTCAGTACTGATGAAGGTCATTTCAGTGAACCATCTGAGTAACCCGAACAACAGGTCATAAGCTCTATCTGCAGTTGATTCAGTAGGATGTACCACTACGCCACCTGTAAAGTCCGGAAATAACTCCACAAACATATACTCCGTGGTGTGAGTCAGAATGAAGAAGTGCATTTGACATGTTCAAGTTTAGGTGAAAACACCAAATCCTTGCCTCTCATGTGAACCTACGACATTGCCGGTACTTATGGTAGATACCCGACGGATTTCCAGTCTAGTATATTTGATTAATTCAATCTTCAATCTATAGTGATTCATTATACGTTTGCGATACATGCCCTTTTGGGGCCAAGTTCGGGAGCAATTTACTTTTAAATAATTTCGATCGAGATTTTTTCACGAATAAGTTTTAAGAACGGAACAAGACGGCTCTCCAAAATAAAAATATTTATTGAGCCTCGACTAAAATCTTTCTAAATTAATATTTCTAATTAATCCACTCCTTTCACATGAAAAATACTTACAAACATCACAGTGGGGTCCTCCATATCCTGTTTCACACTGGCAAGTGTCTGGCGCAGAACAAATTCCGTGAACACAGTCTGTTGAGCAAACGGGAATACATCTGTCTTCAGATGTGCTTTTGGTGTATCCCTTACAGCAGTCTTCGACTGGTCTACTTTTGACCAAATTTTGGTTTTTGTACACCGTTTTGAACTTGATCTTGTACTTTGAACATCTCGGCGGAAAGTTGAGACACCATACATACTCTCTCACTTGATAAGGTTGCTCTTCAGACACTCTTACGGTTATGGTGTATCTGAAATATAAAATGACGAATATTTATTTTAGAATATATCTAGACGAAACAATTTACATGTAGTTTACGTATAGTTATTAAAAAAAAAACTTTCTACTCATTTGTATCAAATAAACCTGGTTCAGACCAAATAAATCTAGTTTAAACAAAAAACCTGTTTTTTTGGTCTTTTGGAAAAAACCTTGGTTTTTGCGAATCCTGCGACGTAGTGTTCAGTGTTCTCCATTAAACACTAGACAACGACTTGACATGCGCAGACTTTGCCAGCTCTGATAGTATATATTTTAGATCTGAAAAAGAAGCCTAACGAGATAATATCAGTTCTTCTTATTCATCAATCTGAAAATGAAATACTACGGTCTAAAAAAAATATGTTTTTCCTATAAACAGCTGTGACCCTCAGACATCTAAGTTAAGGATTAACGAGTTATTTCTTTTCAAAATGCGATTCCTAGCACCGTTTGAACGAAACGCACTAAAAATCGATAGTCCGGCCGCCAGGCTCGAACCACCGTTTCACATAGCAATCGATTGAATGAGTAGAACGAACTACTCACGCTAACCAAGCAGTATTAGAAAAATACGCGTTTAAATCCTGAAAGGTTAGGAAAGAGAGCTTGAATTTTAACTTGTTGACATCAGGTCATTGCTATCAATAAAATCACTTCATTCTATTTAATGTCTCTGAATGTTCAATTACTAGCCGTTGTCCATGACTTTGTTCACGTTGACTTCAGTTTTTAGGTTTTCCCATATTTTCTAACAGCAAAATTTTCTTATGTGTTGGCGTATCTTTCATTCACAAGGAAATACTTATGCAAAGTATCAATATTTAAGCAGCGTTCCCACGAGGCGTTAATCACGACAGTGAACCACGCTTTCGTGAAATACACTTCTGTGTGAACGCATAGTCGTTAAACTTGCTTTCGTGAGGAACGGCGCACGACTCAAGCGTGGATAGATCAAACCTGTTTGATTTGCAGTCGTGATATACCGTTCGTGAAGCCAAGATGTCGTCACAGCAACGTGGCATTATTAAGTTTAACGACAGTGAAACTACGCGTTTTTTGGAGTTATATTCGATGGAAAAGGTGTTATATGATCCAAGTTTGGAGGAATACCGTGATAGATGTTAGCGCTGTATCCATTCTCTAACCCAAAAACGTCTTTTTTTTCGTTTTCTTGTAATTGTGTCCTGTAAGCACTCTATATTTTTTGCTAAGATAGTAGCAAAAAACGAACTTAGAACAGCACAACTTTCAACAACTAGATCATTCATGATCGATGTTTCGATGGTGACTAGTCGAAACGCGAGGCGTGAACGGCACGAACCCCCCAACCGTGTGAACGTTTTATAAATTCACACTTTCGTGAGTGTCACGAACGAAAGTTGACTAGCGAGGTTAACTGTCGTGATTAACGCCTCGTGGGAACGCCGCTTTAGGGTCTTACATTAAGCACTTCTTTTCTTTAAATTTAAATAAAACAAAGTGTTTGTAAGATATCATCGAAATTTTGTATTCGTTTGAAAGACCTATTGATGCCATTGTCAGCTGATGAACGGAAAAACATATTTTAAACATATATTATGTGTGGAATAACATCGTTCAAGTTGTTACGGTTTCATTTTGTCATTTGTTCTGTTTTGAGGTCGACTACTATTTAAACCTGAAATGAATACTTCCATGAAGGTTATCCCTGTACGCCGACGACACGGCTCTTCTCTCATCTTCCATGGGTCGAGAGGTCGGCGTCGTCTACATGCAACATGCATTGGACGACCTCGAGCGCTGGTACCTTGATTGGAAGATCCGAGTAAACCCGGACAAGTCTCAGGCGATAACCGTGGGAAGATTACTATCTTCTCCGGCCAGAAAAGTGAGAATCTCTGGAAGGGAGATTGACTGGCAAGCGCGGGTAAAGTACCTCGGCCTTCTAATAGACCGTAGGCTCACTTGGAACCCGCACATTATGTGCGTTAAGTCTAAGATCGAGGGTCGGATAGCTAGTCTGTACCCTCTGGTCAATAGAAATCCAAATTGAGCACAAAGAACAAAATTACCATCTATAATACGATGTTCAAGCCTGTCATCATGTATGCTTCAGGCGTCTGGGGACAAGCGGCTTCGTCCAACATTTCCATTTTGGAAAGACTACAAAATAAGTTAATTAGGATGATTGTGAATGCTCCTTGTTTCGTGCGGAACGAAGCCATCCGCAGAGATTTGCAGCTGCCTTCCATTCGGCAGTCCATTCAGTCGAGGAATCAGCGAGTTTTTGAAAGTACGGAAACTCACGAAAACCCGTTAGTTAGGAAAGCCACAGATTATGTTGTAGACGACCCCTCCCGATATAGAAGGCCCCGACACTCTGTCGAATAAGGCCCTCATGTCCCCCGTTAACGGATGAATAGCTTTCTCATCCATCCCACCCCAGCCAGGTAGGGGTATCCCTTGAAGGGCGGTACTGATGTATGAGGACTTCATCCATACCATCAGTCATGTACCCATTGGTCCTTCTCGAGACCAATGATCAGCCGAAAGGGTAAGGGAGCTGGACTCCAAGCCTGAAAGATACGAAGATGACTTTCCACTTCCATGAAGGTTTTGGGATATTTTAATACCTCGTCATTCGCTCAATTCCCTTTCACTGATAAACAACTATACAAGGATATATTCAAACGCGTTAATTATATTCGAACGCATATTCGAATCCCCTAAGGATTCTGTGCTCTGAGGGAATGGTGAATTGATCACTTTGGTTCCATGAATGTCTTGTTGTCGGGATTCATTCTTTTTGTGAGACTTTTGGTAGCCATTGGCTAATTTTGGAATTTATATCCAAACTTCTCGGTTTTTCGGATTAATAAGGTAAAACATCTTTTATAAGAATAGAAAATTGTTTTATTTTTGGCATTTGGATGCTGGTAAAACATTCAACTCACATGTTGGATTCACTTTCTTACTGAGAACGGAATCTTAGTGATTTGAATCTTGACTTATTGGGGCAAAAGTAAACTTATAGGCCACACGACACCAAAGGTGAGTTGATATCGTCCTAGACCTCACTTCCAGTGAACCGTTTCCATCTAATATGAAGTATTTCATTTTAGGCCTTCTTTTATCTGGATGCCATTTTCTCGTGTTAGTATTGTTGTAAGACTAGACTGCCTTGCATGAATGCCTAATGTAGCATTAGTTACCCGCTGTTGAGCGGGCAACTACTATTGTACAGCAATTGTTGTACCGACAGAACACTGCAGACCTAAGTTTGGAACTCTAGGTCCATTCTTGTTCTTCAATTCACCTCGAGGGAAACACACAGATAAGCCTAGCTATTAAGATATGGACAAAGAACATATCAGTGAATAGATTTTTTATGCTTGATTAATTATCTCAACAAAGATTTATGTTCTTCAATCCTGCCCAAAAGGGGAAAATATATTAGTGTAGGGTATATGCTTTTATGCAACGTCTCAGGTATTGAAGAGACATCCTCCTTTCATCCTTGGGGAGCCTGAGTTCATTACATTCACCTTATAATCGAAACATTTGTGCTATAGGTGTAATATAATTTATGTCTTATGAATATTTTGGCATTGTTTACAATTAGAAAAGTAATATCTTCCCACATTTGACACTTTGTGGCCTCAGGAGCTCAAGGCTTCCTGTCAGTATTATGGGGGAAGTTCTATATTAACGGTTGATGAAATTTATAAATTGGCAGATAAATCAGAGGATTTGTTGATAAGTTTGAAACCCACTGAGAAAGGTGTAGTTGTTAGGGAAAGGAATTATTAATATTTTGACTGGGTTCGAGAGGAGACCTACATAAATCGAGTTGCTAGTTTTGGGGTATATGTTTCTGGTTTTTAATTGATTTGATAATTTCCATGGGCTCCAACAAATTCTTTTTTTTTCCTTTGTTACATATGTGTAGGATTTTGAGGTTATCTTTATTTATCTTGTATTTTAATTCTTGAAGATGTACATACATTGTAGATTTTTTGTTCAAACAGACGTGTGACGTGTTCACGGAGCCTTACGTCAAAATTGATGTAATTGACTTGAATTTATAAGTTTAACAACCGTATAATCTTCAGTGTTGAATTTTAAAGTTTGCACCCTGGTTGGTTCAACTATCTGTCCTTCCATCTTAGCTAAAAACCCCCGATATAACCGAAGTTTCAAATTTCAGTTTCATACTTAATAATGAAGTTAAACCCGAAACCGGTCGTATAAATAAAATTAACTAGTGGTAATTAGACAAAAGTGTCATCACCCGAAGACGATTGTGGATACTAACAATCGAAACGTCGTGAAATAACTTGGCTTGGGATCTCTTAACTTTTTATTTTTATTTTTTTAATTGTTCTAATTTTACTGGCATTTTATTTCACCGTTATTTCATTTCAGGAGTGTAAAAATTTATGTTTCAATTTCTCGCAGACTATAAATTGATTTATTCTCCCACAATTTAGGAACAGATTACAAAACAAACATTTTCAATTCAAGTCAGTTGAAAGCTCTCATATCCTTTAATTACTATACACTTTTAGTAGTTTATTATTTAGGCAAAAATGAACTTGAATTAAATTTGAGAGAAATTTTTATTAGTCAGATGTTTTCTTCTATCTCGTGACATTTTAATGTGAATATTTCAAGAAAGTAATTTTAGAAGAAGCACGAAATTGATATAATAGTGTTCCCATAAATTATTTCATTCTGTTGTTCAAATCCAAGAGAAATACAACAAAAGCCTTTACACTACCTGAATAAACTTTCAACACTATTAGATTCACCTTTCTCTACATTTCGTGCCACACCAACTCAAAATATATTCATGAGAACCTTGCATTCCCTTGCAGGTTGTAGCCAGGTGCATTTTTATCCCATTTTTATACTTGTGAAAAGGATCGTTAATAGGAAGAAAAGTATTTTTGCAATATTTCAAATCACAGCTTAGCAAACAATATGTGATAAGTTAAAAATAATTCAAAT